TTATTACTTAACTACACTGCACACTAAGAACAACAACTAAAACTATCAAAGGCACTATCAAAGGAGGAAAACCCCTGGATCTGAATGGACTGGAATGGTTCACTTCTGTCTGCTGCAGCAACTGGAAGGAACTGAGGTGATAGAGTGCAGTGCCCCCTTACATAGTCTTCCCCTCAGAACATTCAAAAGCATTGAGGGGAAGGCTGGGGCAGGGAGTGGGGGTGAACATGCGCTCTAATAGGCAGTGCTTGGAGAAGGTTCTACTGTTAGGTACCACCAGGTGGGGCAATGTTCATAAGTGGGAATATGCAGAGCCATTTGAAGAACTATTAATTCTTTACCCCAATCTCTCAGACCCAGTCTCCCCACAGCCATCTCCCAGGCCTGGTCTCATCCCTCTGTTTTCCATTCCTCCCAGGCTCCTCCACCAACTGCCTGGCACAGTCATCTGCCTCCACTCCCAGATCTGGCTTATGTCCCCTCTACATTCAAAACAGACAGCTGCCTCCTCAGTGGTGCCTCAGTGCCAGCCTGGGGGCAGGGGAGAGAAGGAGGGCATCAAGAGCACAGGAGAGCCAGTCTCCCTGCTCTCACTTCTGATGCCTGGCCCACAGCAGTCCAGACCTGTAATTTCAGGGAAGTCCTGCTCAGTCCTGGGCTGGAGAATGCCAGATTCTGTATGAATCTTCTGAGTTTTTAGCTGTGAAGCTCTACTAAGCAATTGTTGCAATTGTTCAAAGACTTACAATTTGGCCAAATTTGGGCAGATTTTCACAGGGAAGGCAAACAGCACCTCCCTGATGTAAAGGCAAAAACCTTTGTCAAATTTCAAGATCCTGCTCCAAAGCATATGGACACAAGAGCGTCTTAAAATAAAGGTCATCAGAATTTTTTTAATATGGGCAAAACAATGTACGTTTCCCTAACATCATTCTGAGAAATGTCCGAATCATTTGGGCTGAAATTTTCCAAAAAATTTAGCCTGATGCAGACACCCAGCATGTAAAACGTTAGCTTGAACAGTTTGGCAAAATTTGGCAAAGTTATGAGCAATTGAAAATAGGGTCTTACAATGGGAAGTGTCGGGCAACCTTAATAACAGGCAGTGCTACCAGACTCCCCAATAATAAAATCATGGTCCAGTGTTAAAACAAACTTCAGAGTGAGAAATCAAGTACTCCAAAGTTAGAAAATTCTAAAAATTCCAAAAACTGTGCAGGATTTGCCACTATACACAGCATTCTGAAGCCTGAGAGTATCCATGTCAACACAAAATAAAACGTGGTTGTATCACACATGAAACTTTTACAGAGACCAAGTATCAGAGGGGTAGCCGTGTTAGTCTGGATCTGTTAGTCTTAAAGGTGCCACAGGACTCTCTGTTGCTTTTTACAGAGACTAGTTGCACATGTAACGTATCAACAAATGGCAAGTGGTTGTACATTATATTTTATGGTTCAATCCAAGTCAACAGCTGATTTAAAAAGCATCTAATGGCTAAATCCAACGTCATACCCGTAAAGTGTTCAATATTCGAAGAGTTCTTTTGTTCCACCTTCTTTCTTCACTGTCTTGATCATTCCTCACCATCTCCTGTATAGGAGATTAATACAAGCATTAGATGTAATTTATAAAAAATCACATGCCAAAATGTTAAAAATGGGACAAGTATTTTAGCTCGCTCATTTAAATTCCAACAGTTATTTACCTCCCTACCTGGTAAACTTCATTTTTTAAGGCTGCAATTTTTTTCTTATGTGGCCCATGTGTTATCTATTTTGACAATGCCTAACCACATCAGAGCTGTATTAAGGGGAAAGCTGGGTATTTTGGTAGTTGTGTAGGGGACAGTTGGGGCTTTTGGCACCTGTGGAGTACTAGGCTGTAAGGAATTGTAAAAACATTAGATAGAGATTGCTACTCAGATGGGCTCAAATCTTGTTTAACAGCATTTTACTTACTATGCCAGCAGCCCCACTGACTGCAGTGGGGCTACTTGCAAAGTAAGGCGCTTATCAATGTGAATAAGCATATCAGAACCTTTTAACTATTTTGCTACT